CCAAGAAGGCCTTTCCCATCCCCTAGGAATGGAGACTCACTATAATCGAATTTGTAATAACCTACTTAAAGGGGGCGTGGGGGGAGTGCCAGTGGAAGAAAGTAGCCAAACAACTAAAGTGAGTGAAAAAACAAAACTTGCCGATACGAGCTCAGCATCCTCAGAGGAAAGAAACAGGGATCTAGGGGTTCATGAGGCCCCAGTGAAATGCCACTTCCCACGCTCACCTCCTTTTGCTCTGAATTCATACTTATCAAATAGCCTTCTAGTTACTAAGTATCACCTTGATACCTATAAGAAGACACCCAGAATATGGGCCCAGTATATATGTCAGGGGAAAGGGTCTCCTCTGGTGTACACTGTATATTATATCCTTTCAGCTTTCAGCCCATGCCTGGGTGAGGTCATCTATGTTTAGAAAGAAACCCAGTATCTATCTATCATTCCCCAGAGACTGGGCCACACCCACCCACTCTGCCCAGGGCATGGCTACATACTTCACTGGTAAACTATTAGGGCTCAGAATGCTGGAATCTGTGTCCTGAGAAATTCCCAGCCTACATCCTGAAACAGTAGAGTACACTGGCCAAGGAAATGGGTGTGAAGCCATACAACCGGAGTTTAAATCGTGACTCTACACTGACCAGAGGTATAATCTGGTTCCTAACTAAAGGCATTAAATAATATCTACACAAGACTTAGCACCACATCTCACACATAGTAAGCACTGATTATCAACATTTGGTTGGAATGGTAAAAAATACAAGACTACTTAAAGAAAATAAGTCACTCTGAAAAACGTCAACTGGCTAAATCAAAGTGTAAGCTAGTTCTCAGAAGAGGAACCTACTTTCAAACAGCCTCCAGTCTGTCCAGTTTCTCTATCTCTACTGTCCTAGAAAAAAACCTCTGCCACCTCTGGTCTGCTGTGACCTAACTGGCCACCCCTTTCCCACCACGGTGTCTATTCTTGCCCATCTGCAACCCATTCTCTACTCAGCAGCAAGAAGGGTCTTGGAAAAACCTACCTACATCATGTCGCCCCCTTTCTTAACACAATACCTTCGTAGCCTGACCTGGACTCTGGCCCCCTCTGTGTCTGCTCCCTTCCCTTCCCCCACATCCCCAGTCCCACAGGCCTTCCTCCCATGTTACAAAAGCACAAGACTTCTCCTACCTCATGACCTTGGCAGAGGCCGTTCCCATCCTGTTGCTATTCCACCTGATCCTCCCAGGGCTGACCTGCTCCTGGGACTCAGACCTTGATGTAATATCACCTCCTTAGTGGGGCCTTCTCCAGTCACCCGATCTTTGACATTACCAGTTTTAATTCTATGTATAACTCAACTCTGACATTTTCTTTTTACTTGAGCAGTTTCTTCGTTTACTTTGTCATCTGCCTCCCTCCACCAGAACGCAAACTCCCCAAGAGCAGGGATTCTGTCAGTCTGGTTCAACAGCACACGCCCAGGACCTTGCAGGAGGCCTGGAACGTAGTGGGTGCTCAGCAAATATCTGGAGAATGAAAAAATGAGCAAACATTAAAAAAAACCCAAAGTGTATGGTTTCTAACTATTAGGATGCTCTTTATCTTGAAAGGGTGAATACTGTCACGTTAAGAACTCGGAACTGCGAGCCTCACTTGCATGGGTTTGAATTCTGTCTTCTATTTACGTGCTGTGTGACTTTGGCAAAACACTGTTCCCTCTTGTTTCAAATGAAGCTAACATCAGCACCTTCTCATGAGGCTGCTGTGAGAATTAAGGTTTGTATGTGTAACATAATTAGACCCATGCCTAGGACATAGGAAACACTATGTAAATGTTAATTAGCAATGTTGGAAAGCTTTCTTTATACAAGTCCTCTGCATTTTTTAGGTTTATAGCAATTTTATCTTTCTTACTACCACTGTAAATAGGATAATTTCTTTCGCTGTATTCCCTAAATTGGTAACTATTTATGAGGAGGAAACCGACTGATTTTTAGACTGATTTTGTACCCAGGCAGCTCACCGGATTGTCCCCCAGCTCCCACTCTCTTCCCACTGCAGCAGAGCGACTGCCCTAATTCTACATCACTGTGCCCATTCCCATCTCTACCGCCACCTGCCGCTCCTGTTCCACTCTTTCACCTTCTTTCCCTGCTGAACATGCAGATATTCACCCTGTTTTAGAAATATTACCAGCAACACACACCACTACCATCACCACTAAATCCAATTTAAACTTTCATGACCTAACGTTACTTGACTTCCCTGGGACATTTCTCACACGACCAGTGCTGAGGTTTTTTCACTCTAAAACACAAGTCTCTTATCTTCTCTCATCTCTTTGGGGCTCCCGCCCAGTCTCCAGCCCCTCGGCTGCTGCCTTACCTTGTCACTCCCTGGGTGCTGTCCGCAGTCCGCTCCTCATCCCACACACTCTCTTTGGGCTAATGTGGCCATATCTAATCAGTGCAACCTGTCCAGATCTTTCTCCTGAGACACATGCTTACTCACTTGCCCCCAACAAGGGGGAGGTCCCATCCATATAAAAATGTCCATCCCTTGGGGCGCCTGGGTGGCCGACCAGCTCAGGTCATGATCTCACAGTTCATGGGTTCGAGCCCCGCATCGGGCTCTGTGCTGGCAGCTCAGAGCCTGGAGCCTGTTTCAGATTCTTTGTCTCCCTCTCTCTCTGACCCTCCCCTTCTCACACTGTCTCTCTCTCTCTCAGAAATAAATAAAACGTTAAAATTTAAAAAAAAAAGTCCATCCCCACCCCCACCCCCAGGCCAAAGCAACTCCAACAGTCCTCACTGACCCCGGGAACGCTGCCGCTCCCAACCCAGGCCCCCAGAGCAGAATTCCAACAGCAATTCCTGGCTCTCCCACCTCCCTCACAATCAGCACCCAACTAGTTACCAAATCCAGTTGCTTCTGCCCCCCCTTTTTTAAATAAGTGTCTTCTACATATTTAAGAAACTTGCTTATTTACTAATTTATCTTACGGAGGTAGAGTTGATACACAATGTTGCATTAGTTTCAGATGTACAACAGTTATTCGATAGTTCTATGTTATGTCGTGTTCACCACAAGTGAAGCCACCATCTGTCACCATACATTATTATAATACCACTGAGAACATTTCCTACGCTGTTCCTTTTATCCTCATGACTTACTTGTGCCTCTTTACCATCTTTCTTCTCAAAACTACTAGTTTCCTTAAACCCTGTCTTCTCTTGCCCACTGCAGACTATTCCAACCCAAAGTCCTTTGTGAAATCATTCCAATAAATCTTTCTCCCCAGAAGGATAAAAACCAAGTTTTTAATATGATCCTCAAACCCCTCTATGACTCTGGCCTTTTTTTCTTTTTTCTTTTGGAAAGAGAGAGAGAGAGAGACCACATGCGTGAGAGTAGGAGAGGGACAGAGGGAGAGGGAGTGTGAATCTTAGGCAGCTTTCGTGCCCAGCGCAGGGCTCAATCTCACAACCATGAGATCATGACCTGAGCCAAAATCAAGAGTTAGACACTTAACTGACGGAGCCACCCAGGCGCCCTGGCTTCATTTCTTAATATACATTCCACCACTACCTACAAATCCTCAGCAACTCTAAAGTGATCAAAATTCACCAACATACTAAGTCATTTCAAGCTTCTCAAATTTGCATGTTGCCTCCTTTTCCCAGGGTGACCTTCAGTCCCTTAATTCACATTCACCTTTCAAACCTCAGTTAAGAATGTCTTATTACTCAGCCACGGAAGGAGTACCCTTACCTCCAAACTGGCCCTCCGCCGGGTGTCCCCATGCACTGTGCGCCGTTCTGAGCACCTACTAACCTGTCACTGGGCCTCCAGGTTCTCTCGTCCACCGGCCCCACCAGACCTCTGCTCTTACAAAGCAGGACAACAACTTCTCTCTGCACTATCAGCACCTGCCTCCGCGTCCAGCAAACACAAGACAATCAAAACTGTTGAACAAGAGAATAAACGAGAGCCAACTTTCCTAAATGAGGCTCAAAGACATAAGACATATAAGACGTTAGAGATGATAACCCTTTAACTCAAATCTGAGCACAAAATAGGCAGGAAAGAAACTGAAAGCTGTAAATTAGAAGTCTGATAGGAAGTATTCCTGGACGTCTAGCATCTTCTACAGGAGGACCAGTGTCTTGGAAGAAGAGAGGAGAGAAGGAGCTCAGATCAACTCTCACCCCGGCAAAGATGGAGTTCAGGGACCGCTTGTCAGAAAGGAGAGGAAAACCCTACTTACCCAGATGGCAGCTGTCCGGACCCTGGTGGCCATCCCCACGGTCAGGTCTGTGCGTCCCGCGGGTGGCAGGACCCGAGGGCTGCCCGAAAGAAAAAGAAACATGAAGGATCTCCCCTCCGTTCCCACCCTTAATCACGGGAGGCCCTCCTGCACCCAAAGAGGGAGGGTCCGGGAGCCCCGCACCCGCCCTTTCCGCCACCGAGATTCCTTCCCGCGTGGAGCCACGCGGTTCCCCGCCTCCCACGCACCCCTTCCCAGCACAGCCGCGATCGGGTCAGGACCCTGTTCCGAGTCTGGGCAGGAGGGAGCGAGGTCCCACTGCCTGCAAACGTAAGGAACTGGGCGCGTCCGGCTCCACTAACCCCTCAGCGAGTGGCCCCGGGACGGGCTGCCTCCGCCTCCTGGAGCTGAAGTCCAATTGGCTCTGTCCTCCCTTCTGATTCTGCGGCTGCCGGCCCGCGTGCTTAGGTCACGGCCCTCGGGGGAAGGTGCGGCCAGCCCCCTGCAGCTCCGGTCACCACCGACACGCGGAACTGACACACACCGCAAAACGAGGTTCTTCAGGCCGGGGCCCAGCCAACCGCGACTGTTAGGGGCGCACAGGAAATGCATCAGTGCGACCCCGGCACAGAGCGAACTACAATTCCCAGAAGCCTCTGCATGACGTCCTGCGGCGCGGGGAGGGCTCCGCCCCAGGGCCGCCGGATGAGGGCGCTGCTGTCCGGAAGCTGTGGTTCTCGGGGAGGGAGCTTGGGCGCCGCGCTGGCAGCTGTAAACACCGCCGAGATTTACCGCAGTTCGCGGCAGCGGCGCAAACGGCGGGGGCGGCGTAAGTTGAGGTAAAAATGTTCACAGGTCTTTGCTTTTCCGCAATGGTTATAACTCAAAAATTCGTAACAACATGTTAACGTAAGTGACATTTTAATGAATATTACTTTTAAAAAAGTAGTGAGCTTGGGGCGCCTGGGTGGCTTAGTCGGTTAAGCGTCCGACTTTCGCTTAGGTCATGATCTCGCGGTTCGTGAGTTCGAGCCCCGCGTTGGGCTCTGTGCTGACTGCCAGCTCAGAGCCTGGAGCCTGTTTCAGTCTGTGACTCCCTCTCTCTCTGACCCTCCCCTGCTCACGCTGTCTCTCTCTCTCACCTAGAAATAAATAAAACATTAAAAAAAAAAAAAAAGTAGTGAGCAGTGGCATTGATTTACATTTTTCTCCTGAGAGAAATCTTTTAAATGTCTCATTTAATAGAAAACAGCTGGGTTGTCGTGTTCGCTTCCGCAACCTGTTGCATGTGTTGTTTTTGTTTTTGTGGAAGTATTTAAAGAAAATCCAGTCTCACCCAGGTATGCAGTTGGAAAAGGACAGGGTAGTTTTTTGGGTTTTTTGGTTTTTTGGGGTTTTTTTTTAACGTTTATTTATTTTGAGAGAGAGACAGAGAGAAAAAGAAAGAATCCCAAACAGGCTCCACGCTGCCGGTGCAGAGCCCGATGCAGGGCTGGAACTCACTACGGTGAGGGCAGGACCTGAGGCGAAGTCCGGGGTCCGACGCTCGGGCTGGGCCGCCCCGGCCCGGAAAGGACGGGGTGTTCGAACCTGCCTGTCAGGTGACCGTGGGTGCCCCTGGATGGCACAAACTGAACCAGGGAAACGAGCTGCGGTGAACAGTCTGAAACCACGTAGGTGATTTCACGCTATTACATTAACGTCTGTCTTGCACTTTGAATGGATAGTTTTATTCGTGCTTCTGTAGCATCATAGTCATTTGGAAAATATTCACTGACTTATGCAGATCTTCACAATGTTGGCACGTTTCATTTTACAATATGAAAAATCTTATTCCGTATTATAATTGATCTTAAGTATTGGGAAGCTGTGAAATTCACTGTGGGAGTACAAGTTTTCCAAAATTCTTCTATTTACTTGAAAACTCGAATTTTATGTTGGCAAAAAAAAAAATACTGTCATTTATTTTCCTTGAAGTGCCAAGCTCACTTAATTGATTTTTGAGAAAATGTCTGCTACATCCCTAAGTGTGCTTTGTCTATATATATATTTTTTTTGGTGTGCATTTTTGAAAGAGACAGAGCACATGTGAGTGCAAGCGGCGTAGGGGCAGAGAGAGAAGAAGACAGAGGACCTAAAGCGGGATCAACAAGTTACCACAAACTTGGTGGCCTAAAGCAGTACAAACTTATCTTACCGCTCCGTAGGTCAGAAGTTTAGCACAGGTCTTAGGAAGCTAAATCCAAGTGTTGACAGGGATCCATTCATTTCTGGAGGTTCTTGGAAAAGGATCCTTTCCTTTGCCGTTTCCAGATTTGAGAGGCCACCTGCATTTCTTGGGTGGTGGCCCATTCCCTCCGTATTCAAACCCCGCAACAGAGTTGAGTCCTGTTCGCTCTGGCCTCCTCCGGTCTCCCTCTTTCACTTTTAAGGATGTATGGATTACACTGGGCACATTTGGAGAATGCAGGATTAGCAAACTTCCTCCTCTTTTGCCATACAACCTATTCAGAGATTCTAGGATGAGGATGTAGACATCTTTCAGGGGCCATTATTTTGCCTATCACATATCTGAGTCTGTCTCTAGTCTTTTTACCTCGTTCCACTGGCGTTTCCCTGCAGTGGGGTCTGCAAACTTTTTCTGTAAAAGTCCAGTGAAAAAGTGTGCTAGGGTTGCCCTGAGTGCCTTCAACAACAGAAGTTTATTTTCTCACAGTTCTAGAGGCTGGAAGTCAGAGATCAAGGTGTTGACCGAGTTGGTTTCTCCTAACACCTCTTTGCTTGGCTTGTAAATAGTCCTCTCCCCATGTCCCCCCATGTTGTACCTCTGTATCCGTGTCCTACTCGCCTCTTATAAGGGCACCAGTCAGATTGGATGAGGTCCCACCCTAATATCATTATTTTAACTTAAAATGTTTAAAGACCCCCGTGGCATTCTGAGTTATTGGGGATTAGGACTTCAACATAGGAATCTGGGAGACCGTTCATCCCGTAACAACCAGTTAGTAAATGTTTGAGGTTTTGCGCACCACAGTCTTTCACAACTACTGACCCTTGCCTTGTAGCATGAGAGCAGCCACAGACAGTAACTATGTGAATAAGCACAGTTGTGCTCCGGTAAAACTTTAATTACAGACGTAGACAGAAGGCCGGATTTGGTCTATGTCCATTGTTTGCGGACTCTGGGTCAGCACTATGCCAGGGCTCCCGACGTTGGTATTCTGTCATTATAGTAAGTATATACCACTTGATTAGTGGTAGGTCAAAGCCTTTTGTTGTTGTTCTTTTTTAAAAAAAAAATTTTTAATGTTTTATTTCTGAGAGAGCGCGAGCGGGGGTGGGGGGGTAGAGAGAGAGGGAGACACAGAATCTGAAGCATCTCCAGGCTCTGAGCTGTCAGCAAAGAGCCCAACGTGGGGCTCGAACCCACAAACCGTGAGATCATGACCTGAGCCGAAGTCGGATGCTTAACTGACTGAGCCCCCCAGGCGCCCCTGTTGTTCTTTAAAATGGTCTGTTATTGTGGTATCTGTTAGGATGTTATCTCCACGTGGCAAGCACTGTTGCTTCACCGTCCAGTAACTGCCCTCTCCCCTTCCTCTTTGCTACAAGAGCTATGTACCTTTAGGTGTTGGTTGGCTATAAGTTTATGGCATTGCCCTTTCTAGATTCAGCAGATGCATGTGTATTTCTTGAAGTCACTCAACAACTATTTATTGAATGTCTACAATGAGCTAGCCACTCTACCAGGCCAGATGACTGATCAGTAATTAAGACTAAATTCCTTTGTGAAGCATTCATTTTGGCAAGGGAAGACAGAGGATTGACAGATAAGAAGTACTATTGAAAAAATGAATAGGATAAAGGGGATTAGCAGTGCCAGAGGGGTGAAGCAGTGTCTCAGTTTCCCAGGTCAGCTATAGCAAAGCACCAGAGTGTGGGCTTCGACAACAGAAATGTATCTCACAGTTCTGGAGGCTAGAGGTCCAAACTCAGGCTGTTGGTAGGACTGGTTCCTTCCGACAGATGCTGTGCGGGAAGCATGTGTTATAGACCTCTGCCTATTACATACCATTGATACTGTACGAGTATTGGTTGCACGAGTGACTTGTTTAACCTGATTACCTCTGTGAAGACCCTTTTTCCACGTAAGGTCATGTTCTGGTAAAGGGGGATGACTTCAACACACGAATTTTGGGAGCACAAAATTAAATACGTAACAGGAGTCAGGGTAGAACTCACTCATCTGTAAGGTAATACACCCTAAGTCTAATCTTTTTCCACAGATCTATGTGATAGGAGAACTTCGTCACTAAACATAATTGAAAGATGAATTTCTACTGTGTGCAGTGAAAAGCGGCTGGCCTTTCCAACCCTTGAAGCCACAAATGTATGGCACCTCTATTCCCTTGCCATCTGTCTCATTGTCGGAGTAGTTTGAGAACTTCAACCAATAGCTGTTTACGCACCATTTCTTTGAACCAATTCTGATTCCTGTTCAGCAGCTGCTGAGACGCTGGGCACATGGGCAGCTTCCCAGTTATTTAAGGGCTAAGTTAACTACAGCAAACATTTTCACCTTCTTGCCTTTCAGGAACGGTAATTCCACAGATTAATCAGTGTGTGTTTAACTCATGGATGAATGTTAATACTTTTTCTTTTTTTATATGTTTTATTTATTTCTGAGAGAGAGAGAGAGAGAGCGAGCGAACGAGCATGAGCAGGGAAGGGTCAGAGAGAAAGGGAGATATAGAATCTGAAACAGGCTCCAGGCTCTGAGCTAGCCGTCAGTAGAGCCCGACATGGGGCTTGAACCCACGAACCGTGAGATCATGATCTGAGCTGAAGTCAGATGCTTAACCGACTGAGCCACCCAGGTGCCCCCGAATATTAATACTTTCTAGGGGTGCCTGAGTGGCTCAGTCAGTTAAGTGTCCCACTCTTAATTTTGGCTCAGGTCATGATCTCACGGTTCATGGGTTCGAGCCCCACATCAGGCTCTGCGCTATAAGCTTGGGATTCTCTTTTGGATTCTCCCTCTTCCTCTCTGTCCCTCCCTCACTCGCACTCTCAAAATGAAATTAAAAATTTTTTAAAAAGAAAATACTTTCTGAATCCTTGTGTGCCTATAACAATGGTGACTGATTATATTGGGTCCTTTATTAAAATTCCTGTGGTTTACTCTTATCCTTAGGATAGTGCCCAGGATCCTTTGCCAGATGTGGAGTCAGCAGCAAGTAGTGGAAGCACTACATGCTGGAGCCAAAGTGATCTGGGTTTGAACCCTGGGTCCTCCTCCACTTACTCTGCAACTTGGGGCAAGTCACTGTGAACTCAAAACAGAAGTAGGTAACGCACATGAACAGAATTAATGTGAAGATTAAATGATATGGTCCATGTAACTTATATGCCACCACTAATTTACTTTCTTCCCTTAACATCCTTATCTCCACTTAGTACCTGCATCATTTTAAGATACGACACAATGAGAATCTAGAGGGAGACAGAGGACATTGTTTGAGGGAGGTCTGAGTGAATTGGTCTTTGAAGGAAATGATGATGGTACTATGTATTTTCTATATTGAACTGGCTAATTTTGTTAAGATTCTCTACAAAGTGGGGGCGCCGGGTGGCTTAGTCGGTTAAGCGTCCGACTTTCACTTAGGTCATGATCTCGCGGTTCGAGGGTTCGAGCCCTGCGTCGGGCTCTGTGCTGACTGCCAGCTCAGAGCCTGGAGCCTGTTTCAGTCTGTGACTCCCTCTCTCTCTGACCCTCCCCTGCTCACGCTGCCTCTGTCTCTCTCTCCTAGAAAAAAAAAAAAAAAAAGATTCTCTACAAAGTGCCAGACATCGTTTGAGATCTGCCACACACGTTATTTTTCATATAAAGCTTCACCATTTACTAGCTATGTAAATGTGGGCAAATTACCTAAATTTCCAAACTCTAGTTCCCTTAACCACAGGGGCGCTAATATGTTCCTTACAGGGTTACAGATGGTGAAGTAATCTATTGTATTAAAGGGCTTAGCTCGGCTACCTTGTATCAAGCTGTCTATACACAAAGATGAGTTACAAAAATCAGCAACTACTACTACTACTACTACTGTTACTACATTTCACTTGGAGCTGCAGATTTTCTGATTTCCCAGAAATTCCTGGTTTGCTGAATATTTTCAAAAAATCAATTTTATTGAGATAAAATTTGCATACAACAAACTGGACCCTTAAAATGTATACTCTGATGAGTTTAACAGACAAGTACAGTCATGGAACCACCACCAGTCTAGATACAGATCATTCCTAATGGTTCCCTTGTGGTCCCATCTGCTGTCGATCACTCTCCCATCCCCAGCCAACCACTGGTTCATCTGCTATCAAATTCCATGGTTCAGGTTCTAGTAGCTTATTTGTAGACAAAAATGTTGGAAGAGAAAAAAATTGCTTACTAAAGAAACTGTAATATAAAAGTAATATATATTTGTTGAAGAGACTTTGGAAAAAATAGACAAGTACAAAACAAAAAAGAAAGAAAAAAAGAAAGTTAACTGCTATTAATCTTTTGACAAATTTCCTAAGAGTTTTAAACAAGATTCATTTCAGTTATTTACAATTCATTTATTTATACTTGAGCTTACTCCATATTAACAATTATTTATCATGCTCTTTTCAAAACACATGACAACATTAACATTTTTCTTGTTAACAGTTTGCATATTTTTAATGTCTGAGTAATATTCCATGACCTGGATACGCTATAACCATTTTCCTATTATACATTTCTATACTGCAAAGTTTGCACTATTGTACGTAATGTTTTAGTGATCATCCATAGTTATTTATCTCTTCCTACATTCCTTAATGTGTTAATAACAGTGGTAGTAGTAGCTAACACATTTAATATTTGTGTGCCAGGCACTGTTTTAAATACTTTATATACATTATCTCACTTAATCCACACAACAACCCTCTGAGGTAGATACTAGAAGTAACTCCATTATACAGTTGAGGAAAATTGAGCCATTGGTTATCAGAAATTCTAAGAAGCCCAGTTAAGGGACTACTCTTCTACACTCATAAGAACCACTGCTTATCACGAAAATGATTTCTGATAGGAGTATATCTACATGTGAATAATATATCTGCACTGAAGAACACAGCAGGAATTGAGGAACCTAAGGATCTAGTTCTGGATCTGACTTCACTCATAATGTGAGACCAGTGCCAACTCACTTGATCTCAACTGTACATGAAGAGCATAAGTTAGATGGTCTCCGGTTCCTTGTCGCTCTCACGCCTCATGACTCTTGGCCATCATTTCTAGATTTTTCCTGGGAGAGAGACATCAAGATCTTTGTCCTCCTGGTCTCAAAAATATTTATCATTCACCAGTCATTAAGCATCTAAAATATATTGTTTTGCTATAAAATGACAATGGCTAGTCCCTTCACAGAGATCCATTTATAGAATGAAACAGAGAATTAAAACAGGTTCTCTTTCTAAATTTTTGGGTCATGAACTTACCACAGAATCTGAAGATTAGGCTTCTTTCCCTAGAAGAGAAAACCTTTATACAAAGAAGATGATTTCACATACAATATTAAAAGTTGTTTATTGATCCTCAGAAGTGAGTCGATAACACCCACTATGGGTAGTGATTTCCTCAGGTTGTGAAGTGCTGACGTAGGTAAGAAGGAAACACGGCTGGGAAGGAAGTGAGAGCTCGTAAGCTCTCACTCACACGCAAGCAGGTTTAAATTCAAAGACATACACCGGAGGTGGGACAACAATGACAGCAATTACCACGGCCACAACAACACAACACTTAACATGTGTCAGGCACTATTCTAAGCTGTTTGTATGTTTACTCAGTTAACACTCACCACTGTCCTACACGATAAGTAATATCCCTAATTTACAGAAGAGGCACAGAGATGCTAGGAAGCATGCCCAAGTTCACCCAGCAAGTTAAGGACAGAGGTGGAACTTCGTAACTTTGTAACTCATAACTTTATAAGGAGGGTGGCTTTGAGAAGTGCTGTTTACTTCATGAGCACAGCTGCTCTAAGACTGGACCAGGTACCTGCTTCCCACTCAAAGGGGGACCCTCCCTCATGTGCTCAAACACCTAATCATCTTCTAGGTCTCAAAGTCCAAAGAATCCCTGTGTTTAAATTCCCAGGAGCCTTCAGCACATGGTCTCAAAGAGTACAGTCCTATGACCCAAACAATGTAGAAGGGGAAAGTTTGCTAGCAGATGGTCCTTAAGCATCCTTGCTGACAGATTAGAGAAACTGGATATCCTTTTTAATGTTTAAAAATATCTTCAAATAATTAGGAGTAACATGGAATAAACTACAAAGCTCACTCAATCCCATTACCTAACAAAATAGATTCTGTTCATTATCCAGATTATTTCTCAATTCTTGCTCACATGCAAATATACTTAAAATAAGTACCATTACTAGTAAATGTGTTCTTTTTCTGCTTTACATTATAAGTATTTTCCCTGCTACTAACCAAAATGTGGTTTATATCAGACACACAAAACAGAGGAGACACTACCAAATGTCCCAGAAGGACAATCAAGTAAAAACATGGCACATTATTTCACTGGAATATTATTTTCCGCTTTTGTTACAACAAATATCAAATTTTTATTCTTTGTAATAGCAACTCTCACTGACTTGTCTTTCTAAAGTATCATTCCGACTGACATTTTTTTGAAGAAGGCAACGAAGCTGGATAATCTCCCACCTACTTCAATGGTTCCTTCTCAGATTCTAGCATTTTAAGGCTTGGTCAAGAATGCTCCAAGGATAACTGCTTTTGTAGGAAATCGTGGAAAGAAAAGCTGGTGGTTTTTGTGTTCTGCCGTGAAATCTGCAGGTTATTTCCCCTTCCAGGACCAACTCTCTAGTGCACAAAATGGTAGTAACAAGATTGAAAACATTTCTACAGAGATTACATCTATACCACTTCCCTCCAGAAGTAGTTTCCAATGTAAAACAAAGTTATTGCTCTTTGTGAAGAACTTTCCACATTTGTAATATTAGTAAGTATTCTCTCTAATGTGATTTGTCTGATACCGAATAAAGTTAGGGCTGTTAACAAGCGCTGTCCCACACTGGTTACATGTTAAGAACTGCTCTCCAGTGTGGGCTATTTGATGTACTATCAACGGAGAGTTCTGGCTGAAGATAATCCCACACTGATTACATTTATAGGTCTCTTCCCCAGCATGAACCCTCTGATGCTTAATAAGGTCGTTCTTCCGAATGAAGGCTTTCCCACACTGGCAGCATTCATATGGCTTCTCTCCAGTATGAATTCTCTGATGCACGATGAGAGCAGAACTCTGGCTGAAGGACTTCCCACAGTCGTGGCACTCATATGGTTTCTCTCCAGTGTGTGTCCTCTGATGGGAGAAAAGGTGAGAGCTTCTACTGAAGCATTTTCCACAGTCTTTACACTCAAAGGGCTTCAGTCCCGTGTGAGTCCTGTGGTGCACCACAAGGTGAGACCTCTGGCTATACGACTTCCCACACTCGTTACATTCGTAGGGCCTCACTCTGACGTGAGTTCTCTGATGCAGAATGAGATGTGTGCTCTGTCTGAAAGACTTCCCACACTCGGGACACTCATAAGGTTTCTCTCCAGTGTGAGTTCTCTGATGCCTAATGAGCCTGGAGCTGTGAACAAAAGATTTTCCACAGTGGCTGCATGTGTACAGTTTGTCTCCTGTGTGAGTTCTCTGGTGGGTCACAAGGTGAGAGAACCAGCTGAAGGACTTTCCACATTCTTTACATTCATAGGGTTCCTCGCCAGTGTGAGTCTTCTGATGTCCAGTGAGGTGAGAACTCCGGCTAAAAGACTTTCCACATTCTTTACATTCATAGGGTTTTTCTCCACTATGAATAAGCCGGTGCCTGGTAAGATTAGAACGCCAGCTAAAGAATTTTCCACACTCCTTACATTCATATGGTTTATCCCTATGCATGCCCTTCGATCCACCAAGGGATGTACCACCAGTAGGAGAGTTGACAGTATCAGGGCATTTGTAGGACTTCTCTCCTGGTTGAGTTCTTGCAAACTGAATAAGGTGAATGTTTTGACAGAAGGTTTGACCACATTCACTACTATTACTTGCATAGCTTTCCTGATGACCACTAAAAACTAAATTATGTTTTAAACTTTTAGTATGTGAGTCATGTTTATGGAAATACTCCCTCAGCACTAGTTGAGCAGGAAGAAGACAATTTCCCCCAAATTTACCATTTTCACAGACTCTCTCCTGAGTAAGTACTTTCTTTTGGGTGAATGCCACTTGCCTCAAATGTCTCTCCTGGTTTTCCTGATACTTGTCCAACTGGTCTTCACATTTCCAGACTTCTTCTAATGATAAATACCAGAGATCATTCTTTGGAATTCCTTCCATTTTAATGCCATAGGATTGTTTATCTTTGGAAATACTCTTACTGGACACCGATGATTTAATTTCAACCACAGTGTCCAAATCTGAAAGAAATGAGGAATCTTTGTGTAACTAAAAAACCACTAAGGTCCAAACAGTGGGATGTAGAGACCAAGTATGGAGGCTGTGTGAGCTGCTTATCCAGCCGCCTTCCTAGTGAGAAAGGAAAGAGGAGAGCGACAAACCGGAAAGGTGCTGGGCTGTGCAGCACATAAGAGAAGCAGTGAGGCCAAGGGGAAGCCACAGGACTGGGCAGGACATGTGGGATCAGGATATTCAGTGCTGGGGGCAGTAAGAGAAAATCTCATGGTAAGGTCTGCACTCCTATGATCTAAACTATTAATGATATAAGAACCTAACATGTCTACTTCTCACCAGACCCTTCCCCTGACATGCATTCTTCACACTACAGCCAATTTCACATTCCTAAACCGTAAGTTCAGCCTTATGCCAGGCAGTGCCTGTTCTCGACACCGTCCGAGCACAAAAGAATAACATCCAGATGTCTGGCACCAGGAACCTCAGAGAGGCCAGGCAACAGGCCGGGAAAGCAACTGTACACAAGTTATCCAGATATAGGCTCTAAATCAAAACTTTAACACTATCAGTGGTAAATCCAGACAAGTTGTTAAAACTTTTCAAAGATCATTTTGCTTATCTGTAATCCGAGGAACGACAGTATTTATGGTGTAAAATTATCATTAAGTACCATCAGGTACGAGCTCATCACAGACTCTGACATATGCGTGGTCAAAGCAATACCATAATAATCATTATTGACATTATTATTCTGTCTTGCATTCAGATTCCTTTGTTCAGAGACATCAAGACCTAACAACTGATAGGACTCACACCACAGGACACTAACTCACAACCTGGCCCCTAACACATGTTCTCCTAGGTTTTTCTGCCCTTTTGTTTATACCTGTGTGTATTACTGCAGACTATTTCCCCTGGTTAAAAGTCTGTCTGTTTCTCAATGCCTTTCAGGTAAAATGTTTGGTTCTTAACCTAGGAAAAAAAAAACACCATTTAAAAGGGTTTTTTTTTTGTTGTTTTTTGTTTTTTTTGAAATATATATATTTTTTAATATTTTTATTTATTTCTAGGAGAGAGAGAGCGTGAGCAGGGGAGGGTCAGAGAGAGAGGGAGTCACAGACTGAAACAGGCTCCAGGCTCTGAGCTGGCCGTCAGCACAGAGCCCGACACGGGGCTCGAACCCACGAACCGCGAGATCATGACCTAAGTGAAAGTCGGACGCTTAACCGACTAAGCCACTCAGGCGCCCCTGGGGTTTTTTTTTTTTTTATTTTAGAGAGAGGACAAGAGTAGAGGAGAGGGGAAGAGAGAGGGGGAGAGAGGAAGTGGGGAGGGAAAGGGAGACAGAGAACCTTAAGCAGGCCTCACACTTGCCACAGAGCCCAACATGGGGCTTGATCCCATGACCCTAGCATCATGACCTGAGCCAAAATCAAGCTGGATGCTCAACCAACTGAACCATCCAGGTGCACTGCATGAGAGCACGAGGACACTAGAATTAGTGTACAAATCAGGAACGCAAGACCAACAGGGCTAAAACCAAGCACATCAACAGAAAGATAATTTTCATGAAGAGTACAAGTTTGTCTTTGAATGCAAATGAAGAGTGACAAGACTATAAAAAGACGGGTCACGGGGAAACAGAAGGTAAATTAACTCAGTCTTTGCCTCACAAATGAGAACTAGTGACCACTATGTCCAGGGATTCTAGTGCCTAACTCTCATCTGAGCTACGACCTGCAACACCTCTTGACTGGTCCTCACCTGGACGGGTCTCCCGGTGAATCCCTCTCTCCACCAGCCACGGCTCTTCCCCTTTCTCCAACTGGAGGATCACATCTGGTTTGGGAAGCTGATGCCCTGTGCACAGTGAAAGATAAAGAACTGGGCAGGGGTTGGGGAGCTCTGGGCTGGAAACAAAGAGCATCCCAGATTCAACCCCAACCCCTTCTTAGTCTTGGGGCAACTCTGAAAAGTAGACAAGGGGAGGCTACAGAGGCAGCAAAATATGCATTTTTTAAAAATTCCAACAAATCAAAACACAGTTCCCCCTGCTCCATAAAAGTACAAGTGAGTACAAAAGCCCTCTTCTCTTATCTATACCATGGAATACTACATGGCAATGAGAAAGAATGAAATCTGGCCACGTGTAGCAATATGGATGGACCTTGAGGGTGTTATGCTGAGTGAAATAAGTCAGGCAGAGAAGGACAAATATCATATGTTTGCACTTATAGGAGGATTAGGAGGAACTTAACTGAGGAACAAGGGGGAGAAGAAGGGGGGAAATGGTTGGGGAAAGGGAGAGAGGCAAACCATGAGAGACTTTTGAATGCTGACAAAAACTGAGGACTGATGGATGTGGGGGGGAGGGGGGATGGGCATGGAGGAGGGCACTTGTGGGGATGAGCACTGGGTGTTATGTGGAAACTAATTTGACAATAAACTATTTGTAAAATAAATAAATAAATAAAAATAAACCTAAAAAAAAAAAAAAGCCCTCTTCTCTGTCCCAAGGAAATCACATCCCTGGCCCCAAGCTCATACTCTGATATATGTGCTTGACTATTTCCATACCTTTTTATCAGTGAAGAACCAAAATCCTCACAGGGGGATATCTCTAAGAATACAACTTAGTCTTACCCAAGGAAATCAGATTCTTATAGTTCTCCAGCATCACATCTTTGTACATGATCTGCTGAGCCGTGTCCAGCAGCTTCCACTCCTCCCTGGAGAAGTTCACAAGTACATCCTTGAAGGTCACCAGTGTCTATAACAAGGAACAAATATGTATCAAACCAGATACATATTTCTGCCCTTCCTTCCTGAGTACAGACAAAAAGAGAAATTAGGCAGACAGCACTGGGCTAGGGAAAGAGAATGGAACAGAATTCACTCCAGAAGTGAGTAGTATGTATTTTGGATTCTGATCAAGTCCTAACAGGAATGGCTCTTAGATACTTACTGCCTAAAATCCAGTTCCAGGTTATGCTCTAGGTTTAGAAACCATCAGAACTTTTATTTAAATCAACTCTATTATAGACACCTACAGCAAGGAGCATCAGACACCAAAAGTTAATCTGCATTTATATTATGTGAAATAAAGAACCTAATTCAAGGCAGAAAAAAGACACAAAGCAGTCTTCAGTTCAAGTACAACTTCATGCTTAAGAGATCAAACTCACCAGGTTTTCTGATCTAAAATAATTATCCAAAACATTTTTCCTAAACATTGGTAGGCATTTTTTAAAAATGGAGATTATAGGGGCGCCTGGGTGGCTTAGTCGGTTAAGCGTCCAACTTTCGCTTAGGTCATGATCTCGCGGTTCGTGGGTTCAGGCCCCGCGTCGGGCTCTGTGCTGACTGCCAGCTCAGAGCCTGGAGCCTGTTTCAGAGTCTGTGTCTCCCTCTCTCTCTGACCCTCCCCTGCTCACGCTGTCTCTCTCTCTCTCTCTCCTAGAAATAAATAAAAAAATATTAAAAAAAAAAATGGAGATTATATTTTAATAGTAACAAAGCCATTTGACAAAGAAACACTAGACACAGAAGCGACACCTTTATTACCCACATTAAAAAGAAATACGGTAAATATCTGGGTAAATATAACTAGTTTTCTTCTCTTAAGTCCTTCAAAATACATAACACAGCCGAAAGCAGAAACCACAACACTCTCTAGTGGGACTTTGCACATAAGCAGAGGTAGAAATGCAGGACGCTCCAGGGGAAGAAGGTGAATAAGGCACAAGGGGCCCAGGCTCCCGGCCCTCATACCCTGGCTGTGGTCACCCCTGGATAAGTACATAACTTACGCCCAAGCTCCTTCCAACAGGAGCTCCCGAGGGAAGCATCATATAGCCAGCTCCACATCTAGGACAACGAGGGGCCAGAGAGCCCCACCAGGCACCAACACTCCCAATTCCCACATCATTTTGTGGGGAGGAAGCGTACTGTAGCCTTTACTCCCTAGTGTGGATGAAAGCATTTTGTCAGAATCCTCAACATTACCCACTTGACTCCTCCTGCCCGCATCACTGCTAAACTTGTATTTCTTTACATGAAAGGAATTAAAACTACATCTACAAACAAAGCAAACAAAATAGTGCCAGTCTTCCGGAGGAGAGTGTCCAGGATAAAATTTCTGAAGTTCCTAGGCAAAGGATTCCAAAACTCAAGCAGAAAGGGGTTCTCAGTTGGAAAACAACGAAGGCCACCCAACTTACGTGGGACCGGGCTGTTAGCAACTCGGCCTCCATGTCCTCCTTGTTCTTGATGATGTTTTTTTCAGAAATGGAGACCCTGAGAAGGGGAAAGAAGAAAAAAGAAACATGAGGAAAGTTTGCTGTGATAGGGAGGTTTCATAAAGCATCAACCTAGGCTGCCGGCTGAGTATAATGCAAACACCCACCACACAAAAAGGAAAATCAAGAGATAGTCCAAAAACACATCTACAGTGGCTGAAACTCCTAGGAGGAGGAAGAAAAGAGCTATGTCGATTGCAGTTTTTCCCCCTTAGTCTCTAAAGTTCCATGGAAAATTTCATTTGCAACTTAATGGTTCTACTGCTACAAATTCTCTTTTTTGAGGAAAACAAATCAAAAAACAGAATCGGCCTTGATCTAATATCCTTACAGATAAGAAAACAAGTGTTTTCTCCAGCTCATCACAGAAGGGAAGTCAGAGATTGGAAGCATAAGAAAACTGGGATGTTCCACTAGTGGCCTTCAGGTGGATGGTGCCACACAGCAAGGAGCGTGGGCAGTCTCAGGGAGCTAACAGCCAGTCTTGAACAGGGTACAGTCACAAATAATCGAGTTCTGCCCACAATCAGAGCCTCCTAATGAGAACCCAGGCCAGCCGACACCTTGACAGCAGCTATTGGGATACCTGAGCAGAAAACCCAGCCAGAGTATGTCAGACTACCACCTACAGAACTGTGAGCTAGTACATGGGTGCTGTTTTGAAGCTACTAAGCCTGTGGTAATCTGTTACATAGAAAGAGAAAACTAATACGTGGTCAGTATCTTTTAAAGACACTTAAACAATAAGGAAAAAATATTATATATTTACCTACATAGTTACCATTGCCAGTGCTTTTCATTATTTCCAGTAGACCCAGATTTCCATTTGGTTTCATTTCCTTTCTCCTTAAAAGGACATCTTTTAACATTTCCTGCAATGTGGGTCTGCTAATAATAAATTCTTTCAGCTTTTTAAGTCTGACAATGCCTTCATTTTGCCTTTTTTTTTTTCAGTATAGCTTTACTGAGATATAATTCATACAAGACAATTCATCCTCTCAAAGTACACAATCCAATGGTTTTTGGTAATTACATTATTTATCTTTAAAATTGTAGTGGGGCGCCTGGGTGGCTTAGTCAGTTAAGCGTCCGACTTTCGCTTAGGTCATGATCTCACGGTTTGTGGGTTCGAGCCCCGTGTCGGGCTCTGTGCTGACTGCCAGCTCAGAGCCTGGAGCCTGTTTCAGAGTCTGTCACTCCCTCTCTCTCTGACCCTCCCCTGCTCACGCTCTCTCTCTCTCCTAGAAATAAATAAAACATTAAAAAAAAAATAAAATTGTAGTAAAAAAATAACAAATTTTGCTAATTATTGCTAAGTGTACAATACAGTGGCATTAATTACATTCACAATATTGTACACCCCTCACTAATTCTAAACTTTCTAATTACCCCAATGAAAACTCTGAAACAGTAAGCAAACTCCCTAGTCCTGCATCCCCTCAGACTCTGACAACCTACTCTGATAATCTGTCTCTCTGAATTTGCCAATTCTAGATAATCATATAAATAGAATCATACAACATTTGTTATTTTCTGTCTAGCTTATTTAACTCAGCACAATGTCTTCAAGGCTTATCGATGCTGTGGCATGAATCAGAACTTGACTCCTTATAATGGCCAAGTATTATTCCATCGTATGGACAGACCACGTTGTTTACCCCATCATCTGGTGATAGACCCTTGAGTTGTTTCCGTCTAGAGGGTCTTGTGAATGGCGCGGCTGTCAACACTGGCATACAAGTATCTGCTTGAGTCCCTGCTTTCAATCCCTTCGGGTCTGTACCTAGGAGCCGAATTGCTGGGTCTTATGGTAATTGTGTGCTGAGCTCCCTGAGGACCTACAAAACTTTTCCACAGCAGCAGTGTCCTTTCAGTCACACCAGCAATATACGAGGTTCCAGTTTCCCCACGTGCTTGCCAAACTTGTTATTCCAGTTTTTAGATTCTTACAGCAATTCTGGTGGCGTGAAGTGATATTTCATTGTTGTTTTGATTTGCATTATTTTCACGTACTTAGTGACCATTGGTATATTCCTTTTGGACAAGTGTCTGTTCAAGTCCTTTACCTATCTTTAAGTTGGTTAGTTTGTGTTTTTGTTATTGACTTGTAGTTCTTTGTACATTCTACATATGAGCATATATATACACACAGAAGTCAGTTTATGTATCCTATGTATGTTAAACCCTTATCAGATATATAATTTCCAAATATTTCTCCCATTCTATTGGTGGTCTTGTCTTTGTTGTTGAAATGTATTTTTGCTGAATACAGAATTCTAAGTAGAGGTATTTTTCCTTTCAGTGCTTTAAATGGCTCCATTCCTAATGCTCCAGGAATTACAAGAGTTTTCCAGCCTGACCAGTAGTAACAGTATTCTCCATGCAAACATCAAGATGATTCCCTCCAACCCTTTAGAGGATTCCTTCCCTGGCCTTGGGAAGTTTCCTCACACAAATGTGCTGCTCTGTGCTCTTGAGTCCTTGTGCGAGACCCTCTGCAGATCTCTCCTCTCTGCTGTTCTCTTCTAAGAACTACAGCTGCTTTGCTCTCCCCAGATTCTAAGCTCCATCCTTGACTCAGGAAGTCTGCTGGGCTCCACCTCAGTTCTTCCTTCCTCTACTGGAAACTGGAAACCCTCTCAAGGCAATAAACTGGGGCAATCGGAATGCTTGCCTCATTGCTTTTCCATCTCCCAAGGAAGACGGTCTTTTGTCATCTGATATCCATATAAACCGATTATTTCGTGTATTTTGTCTTTTTATTGTTGCTGCTGTTGTATGGGCAAAAGGGTAAATCTATTCCCTGTCACTGCATCACAGACAGAAAACAGAAGCCTATAAACATCTCATGTTTAAGTTGTTTTAAATTTAGATTGTATTTTTAATTTCCACCTTTTGAATACTGGGCTCGAGTATTTCCCATATGTCTGTATTTACAGTTCTCTTGAATTTTTCATTCCGATTGTTTTCCGCCTTGGCCGTCTGGAGATCGTAAGGGTTTCCATTGCAGCTCTATGCAAATGTATGTGAATAAAAGCAACATGGCTTCTGCCCTGTCACACCACTAAAATGGCTCTTACCAATGACATCTATTACAGAGGACACTGTTGGCCTCTGGAATGTTCTTGAAGCTCTTTATTTACTTTGCCTCCTTCTCCACCTCTGTATATCTTAGTTCTTAGTTTTCTTTAATGATTTCAAAAATTATGATGAACTTTAATGTAGGTTTCCCTTGGTTGCATCCTCAGCCTTTCTTGGTGTTCATTTTCAGTGACCCCCTGGGCACTTTCAGGGCACAAAAAAATCTACTTATTTTATCCTGTCTACCCCACTGCATGGCACACAACAGACCTAAGTGTTTCAGCCAGAATGAAGAGATCACTCTGTCTTCTACCCTAACCTTGTTCCTCAACCTCAACTGCGTTATTTCCAACTGTGCTCCAAAACTTACCAAGTTGTTTCTCAACCTCTCACAGAGCTTCCTTCTCAATGTCAGATGAATAAAGGCTGAAATTACCAGGGATGTTAAACTACATAAGAAATTACTTTATGGAAGCAAGAGAATGATTTTCACATATTTAGAGGCCCTTGGAACAGGGATATTTGAGTTGCTCCAGAGGGCAGAATTAGGAATAATGTGTGGAGTCACAAAAAGTCAGTTAAAGTCAATTTAATAAGACTCTGTTAATCATAAGACACCTGGAAATAGATCAGGTTGCCTAACAAAGCAGGAAATTTCTGGCCACCAATAAATTTTCAAGCCTATCTTAATAACAAAACAAAATAAAACAAACAACCACTACAGTGCAGCCTCTACTTTACATAGATATCTAAGGTCATTCCAATGTCTCTCCCATTTTATGATTATATACAATTTTAAAAGTTTATAATTAGTCTCATTTCATCCCAATTTCCCTTAACCTCCATTTCTGATAACTCACTCTAACCTTTATCTAAACCAGTGGTTCTCAACCCTACCTGAACACTGGAATTGCCAAGTATATTTATAGATTATAACACCTGGATCCCATGCCTTCCTTCTATGAGAGATTCTGACTTAATTGCCTGTGAGGAGACCAGGGTTTTGTTAATTTTAAATAATTCCCTGGGTGATTCTAATGTGTAGCCAAGGTTGAGAACCACTGATTTAAGACATTATTTAACCTATTTAATTATTCAAATTTATTTGAGCTAATTAATTAATTAAATCCTACCACTTCTTAGGAATAACCAGATTCTTTGATCAGTCACAAAGTATCTTTCTATGGAACCGGCTGAAACTGATTTAGGGATACCAGGATGGGTGTTGTGTTCAGTGGAACTGCTGGTAAGTTGATGACTATCTTGATGTTACAGATTTGGATCTTATTCTGTCATTTTAATAAATCATTAGGGAACACTTACTATGTGCCTGGCTCTGTACAAAGCCCAGCGGATAAAAACATGAACAAAGTATTTATTTTTGCCATCAAGCAGCTGAGTCTAGCAGAAGAAACTGAAAATGGACACTCAGAGTTCACTATGATTACTGCATGCCCAAGGGGTCACGGAGCACAGAAAACACCACCCAGCACCACCTGGAGGGTTTAAGGGTGAGGCCTAGAGCCACTGGGGCTCTAGGAACTGTGTGAATAAAGGCAAAGTCTGAGACAATGATGTGAAGAGAAGGGAGCTCACTGCAGCTGGTGCACACTGGGAAGGGCAGGGTGGAGCCAGAAAGGAGCCGAGAGACACACATGGCCAGACCTAGGTCACAAAAGAACAAAAACACCATTTTCAAACTCTCTCCTATGTGTTTTAAGCCCAGAAATGATACTAGATTTGCACCTTAAAAACAACTCCTCTGCATGTGGGATAGTTATGTGATGGACTGGAGGAAGATGTTGACAGCAGCAAAGGAACCAGGAAGGAGGCTAATATCATAATCCAGAGGATGGGAACACAAATTAGGGCTGTAGAGCAGACAGATTTTGGAAATGGTATATCCTAGAAATCAGATGAATACAGATGTGAAGACAGGTTAAGGGTTAAGGAAGACGCCCAGTTTCCTGGGTGACTGATACGACAACAATGTATCAGGAGGAGGAGGCACTAGAGGAATGATGGGACTGTGTACCTTCGTGTGTCTGTTTAAAGAAAGGCAAACTGCCACGTGCAGCACCTCATCTGGAGGTGTCGCGTTCTGGAAGCTTGGCTACCCCATGTTCTCCTACAAATGGTCCTTGAGAGCTTGTCTGGAGGCTCTAGCAGCAAGCAGAGCTACTCATACACCCTTGGCTGAAGGTTCTCTATTGGGGAAGCTCGTCCTCTTCCGCTGAGCACACAGCTTCGGGAGGGACGCACATAGAGCAGAGGAGGGAGGGAACACCCAGCTAGAAAACCAGATCAGTCGAATCAATGCTGGCGATCGATGGGCCGACAGATGTCACAGCCAGATCACCCTCACATCCTCATGGCACTGGTTTCAAACATAGAAAATGGGCCAGAGAAATGACATTTAGGAAGATATATTTAGATGGGAGGGTTACCCACCTGTACCATCTGCCATCCACATTTCTGTTCTATCTGCATCTATCCAAACTACTCAGCTATATTCTCAAGACTCGGGGGGTGGGGGATGGCCTTTTGTCACAGATTTGAGAGTGACTGTGTTCTTCTGCTATGAGATAAAGGTGAAGTAGGCAGATGGGCAGGAGTCTGAAAGAGATATACATTCCTAACAACCCTATGACATAATTCTTTTATAAAGCCCACTAAGAAACAGTAAGGTCTGATAAAGCTAGCTCATGGTATTATCAGATGACACCATGGCAATATATAAAGTCAGCCAAAGATAATGTGAAGAGTACAATAAAGTATAAAACCAGGATTAGATTATGGGGGAAAAAATCTACATTTAGGAAGCAAACAGGAGAGAAAGAAAAGTCCACAAAGGAGGCAAAGAAAGAGCCACTAATGAACAAGAAGATCCAAAAGAGAGGTAGACCAAAAGCCAGAAGAATTTCAAAGAGGGCAGACTTAAAATAAGCATTCAGGTAAGTTAAGGATTGGAATCTAATGTGCTGGAGTGGTTAGATAAGGGTTCAGTAAAGATTTGGGGAGAGCAGTCTCAACTGCTGGGAGCAGCAGACACATTCCACAAAAGGAAGGAAAAGCTTGGAGGTGAAGAAAGAAGAGAAAAGGCACAGCTGGAAGAGATCCTGAGTGACAAACACGCAGGCTGGAGCCACAGGAGAGAGGAGGGCAAGGGATGGAGTCAGAAGTTCAGAGGGAGGGCCGCCTGGGGGGCTCAGTCGGTTAAGCCTCCGTCTTCGACTCAGGTCATGATCTCACAGTTTGTGGGTTTGAGCCCCACGTCGGGCTCTGTGCTGACAGCTACCTCAGAGCCTGGAGCTGCTTCAGATTCTGTGTCTCCATCTCTCTCTGACCCTCCCCTGCTCACACTCTCTCTCTGTCTCAAAAATAAAGTATAAAAATTTAAAAAAAAAAAAAATTCAGATGGAGGCATCAGCATGGAAAGCCAGGAAGCTGGTGACAGCACCTCTCTCTGCCCCTTTCTTCTGTGGTCACATCTCCTCCAGGCACCCACCTTCTGCCCCCCTATTCTGATGGACCTCTGTGATTATACTGGGCCCCCTTGAACAATCCAGGGTACTCTCCCCATCTTAAAGTCCTTAGTTGAATCACATCTGCAAAGTTCCTTTTGCCATATAAGGTAATACAGCCACAGGTTCTGGTTCTTTGGGGAGTGAGTATTCTGCCCACCGCCAGGGTGGAAAGCGGCTGCAAGAAGCTCCAAGGATGAACCAGAGGCTATGAAAGCTACTATCCAGGGCACCAGACGTTCTGCAGCACAGCTCTGACCAAGTACCTGAGTACCCAGGATTCACAATCATCTGTATTCTGGGCCCCGACAACATTTCAACTTCAATTTCAATTTCAATTCCCGCTGCACTCATCCCATGCTCTCTAAGTGTCACTTATATGCCACCTTTTCTGACAAGGCTTTCTGTTGTTCCAGAAGAGTAACTTCCCTGACCAGTAATCGTGGAACACTTTGCACATGCTTTTAGCACTTCAACACCTGGCCTTAAGCTACCACTACTTATTTGTCCACATCCCTTCTGAGATAAAGAACCACTTCAGAATTGGGGATAATCTCATTCTAAATCTCAGAAAGAGACTGGCATAGTGCTTTGAACTTCCTATTTGTTCCACTGACATTTGTCAAATTCTTTTTTTTTAATGTTTTTATTTACTTCTGAGAGAGAGAGAGAGAGAGAGAGAGAGACAGCTTGAGCAGGGGAGGGTCAGAGAGAGAGGGAGATACAGAATCTGAAGCCGCTCCAGGCTCTGAGCTAGCTGTCAGCATAGAGTCCAGCGAGGGACTTGAACCCACAAACCATGAGATCATGACCTGAGCCGAAGTCGGACACTTAACTGACTGAGCCACCCAGGCACCCCTGACATTTGTCAAATTCTTAACAAGCACCCACAAAGATAGCATGTCTGTTTTCCAAGGTGTCTGCCCTCCGCTCTCCATTTGAACCCCCAGTACTTGAGGGCCAGTGCCAGAGACAGGAAAGACCTTGACAGGGACAGCATTTCACTTGGGCATTTTGAGTATATGCTTCTTAATAAAGCAAACAGAATCTCTTTAGATTCTGAGTAAGTTCATCAGTATTCAGCATGTGCAAAGGGCAAGGAATGGTTAGGAAAAGAACACAGCCACAGTTAAGACTCTAAGACCAGAAGAGATGGCAAAGACATACTTGAAGATACAAAAGGCAAAGACCATGCATCTATGAAAACTCACACATGGATAGTTGCATTTTATGTAAATTTACATCAAAAGATAAAGCTATACAAATACTGAATTCTAGTTCAAAACGCACATGCATTCAGAAGTATTTAGGAGGAGAATACTGATGTCTGCAATTTACTCTGAGATGCATTAAAAAAAAAAAAAGATGGACTGACGAAGAAATAGATGTATGTTAAAATACGTATAATAAGGGGTGCCTGGGTGGCTTAGTCGGTTAAGCGTCCGACTTTCACTTAGGTCATGATCTCGCGGTTCGTGGGTTCGAGCCCCGCGTCGGGCTCTGTGCTGACTGCCAGCTCAGAGCCTGGAGCNCTTAGGTCATGATCTCATGGTTTATGGGTTCGAGCCCTGCGTCGAGCTCTGTGCTGACTGCCAGCTCAGAGCCTGGAGCCTGTTTCAGTCTGTGACTTCCTCTCTCTCTGACCCTCCCCTGCTCACGCTGTCTCTCTCTCTCCCCCCTAGAAATTAAAAAAAAAAAAAAAGTATAATAAAATGTTAATGGTAGAGTTGGGGGGCCAGTTACAAGTACTCTCTGTAAACTTCTAATTTAGCTGTATGTTCAAAAGTTTTCATAACGAAATGTGAGAAAAGGTAAGACTGAGACAACAGAAAGATATTGTGTGGAAAGAGGCAAAAATGATGCCCTTGGCCTTGGTTCTGTGTCAGATACACATATAGCCTATGCCACACCCAGTCCTGACCTTCCTTCCTGGCCAGAAGATACAAAACATGCTGATGTGACAGGAGACTTCAGTCTGATGTGAGACATCCTATGTGTATTGTAAGCAAAACAGACATATTACAATATGAAACTTCTTTTTCCTTAAAACAAAAATTATTAAAACCTGTAAGCTTTTTTTTTTTTTTTTTACAAATAGTTTATTGTCAAATTAGTTTCCACATAACACTCAGTGCTCATCCCCATAAGTGTCCTCCTCTATGCCCACCCCCCCCAAAACTTGTAAGCTTTTTAAACTATGTAACTAAGCCTTCAGTGTTTAAACTATGTCATGAAAACCAAGGTAACCCATCATTTCTAGGGAGTATCTCTTTTTAACAGAAACATTTTCTCATCAAATTATGAAAAGGAACGAGCTACTTCCATAATGCTTTTAAGATGAAGACATATGAGGAAAGGAAGGGGAAAAATACTTTCAAGCAGAGAGGGAGGCAAACCCATAAGAGACTCTTAAATACAGAGAACAAACTGAGGGTTGATGCAGGGGGCAGGGGAGAGGGGAAAGTGGGTGATGGGCATTGAGGAGGGCACTTGTTGGGATGAGCACTGGGTGCTGTATATAAAGGATTCATCACGGGTATCTACCCCTGAAGCCAAGAGCATACTGTATACACTGTATGTTAACTTGACAATAAATTTTATTAAAAATTAATTATAAAAAAGATGAAGATATAAAGAACAAAGTGCATAGGGATTCTTGGGGGGGGGAAATCCCAGTTTTATTTCCTAGACAACTGAATTTAATAAAAACAGAACTGTTCTCATTTCTATTCACCTTTGTTCTTATTTCCTATCTCCTAGTAAGATGTTAAAGTTTTCCATATAGCTCAGGTACATTTCTAGTTAAAATTAATATTAGGTACTTCATTGCTATTGTGAGTAGGCTATCTTTTACAAAGGCATGTGTTAACTTGTTACTGAAGACCGTAAAGCAATCTATTCACTTACATATTTCCTTTTCAGTCACTTTACTAAAACCGCATTCATGTTAACTGAATCTCTTCTACATGGTAGGGGTATTTATAATTAATAAGAATAATTTTGTAATCTCTTTTCCAGAAAATATACCTTGTTTCTATGTAAATACTGTCTTGTTCTAAGCAGAATTTTGAGACAATGTTAATGTAAAATACTGCTAAACAGACTTCCTTCTTTATCTGTAGCCCAAATCCCTTCCCTGTGACTAGCACATGCTCAGAGTTCAAGAAATGTATATTGAGAGAAGGAATGACAGAACAAGGGAACAATATTTGAAAATAGGCATGAACGTGTGAAATTCACCCTCCAGCAGCCTTTGCTAGACAATTTTAACGAAACAGAAAAGAAGTAAATGAGTTAGGTCATAGAGAAAAGTTAGTGGAGGGCTGAGGTGGTTTAACAGGGGTGAGGAGGAGTTATGCTGTTTAACTGTCCAGACAGTTAACTACAGTCAACACCGCCAACCTGACACATTTGTTAGCTCACATTCTGGATGCCATCTCGTCTTCCCTCTTACTTTTCAAAGCACAGTGTATTCTGCTACAGAATTGAAATGCTTCACCTTCTTCATAGACTCTGGGTGGGGTCTATGTAACACTGAAGTTAACCTTACCTTTGACATCATACTAGATGTTAGATGATATGCACCATTTTGATTGGCTTAACAACTCTAGTGTCAAGGAAAAATAAAATAGTAATTAAATTTGAGCTGTCTCTGAAAAATAAAACTAGGTTAAACACATTAACACCTCCAGTTAATCTACTTGATTAAACACACACACACACACACACACACACACACACACACACACACACACAGTTAGGGGTGCCTGCCTGGCTCAGTTGGTAGAGCCTGAGGCTCTTAATCTCTGGGTCGTGAGTTCAAGCCCCACACTGGGTGTGGAGTCTACTAAAATAGGGACGCCTGGGTGGCTCAGTCAGTTAAGCCTCTGACTCCCGGCTTCGGCTCAGGTCATGATCTCACAGTCTGTGAGTTCGAGCCCTGTATCAGGCTATGCTGGCATTTGGAAGTAAAAAAGTTTTTTAACCTAGTATTTTTAGACTCGATCAAGAAACAGAAACTTATCCAGCCCTTTCTACAGGCTGGATATTAAGAGACCTACTTCTTCAAGAAGCAAGTAGCCTTTAACTCTGATAATATCCACAAATAGAATCCAATGATATACATATTTTAAAACCAGTATAATCACGTTGGATTTCTCCTAGGAATGTTGAGACTCTTACTGCTAAGAAATTTCCTCCTCGAACAAAAACAGCATGATCATTTTCAGCAAATGCTAGAAAAAGCCATATGCAAAATTTGAAACCTACAGCCCTAGCTGGGGAAAAGGAAAAGCAGGATCAGCAGACAACGTATTTTGGTTCAAACCTCCCACAAGCACCACACAGCACAGACACCAAACGCTACGAGTGCTGTCATTACCCTTGCAAAGCGGCAACATGCGCTATTAATAACTACGACGTGAATCCAAGAATCACCCGCAACGGGGAAAATAGTCATCCAAGCAAGGGGTGAAAATCACAGGAAGAAAACTTACTTATGGAGGAACCCACCGTCCAGCCAGGGCGCTGAGGTTAACAGGCACCAACACGACGTGCCCGACGACGAAGCAAGCACACGCCGCCGCCCGCGCGTGTGCCCGCAGCGGGACCGGGAGGCGCGGTGGGCGAGGCGATCCCGTCACAATGGCAGCGGCGACCGCGAATCAATGACGAGCCAGGCCTCCGCGAGCCGACGACGCGGCTGCGGCGAGCTGCGCAGGGCCCGCCCGGGAGGCGGCCGCCTCTCGGCGCCGGGCTCCTCGCTGCCCCCGCGGGCTCGCGCTCACGCCCGCGGCCCGCCGCGTCCGGAGCCCGGGTCCCCACACACGCAGACACGCGCGCGCGCGCCCCGCGGCCCCGGCCGGCCGCCACACGCCCCCGTCCACGCACGCACGCGCCGCAGCGGCGCCCAGAAGCCCCGAAGCCCTCCACCCGGCGGGGAGGGGCGGCGCGGCGCGGGGGCCTTTGGGAAATGTAGTCTCGGCCCCTCGGCTTCTTGCGGCGGCCGAGCGCCGGACCTCCTGCCGCTGCTCTCCTGCGTCAGCGCTGGGGTCTCGGGGCGCCAGCGTCCGCCCGGCTCGCGCTCCCCGATCCCGTCTCGAGGCTCCGGCCGGCTCCCAGGCTGAGAGGCAGGTGAGCGCGTGGGCGCGCGGCAGAGGACGGCGGCCTGTGGGAGGCGACGTGGGGCGGGGCGGCTCGGGCGCTCGCTCCCGTCAGGGTGGGTGAGCAGCCCGGCCTTGCCCGGCCGGAAGGCGGGAGACGAGGCCCGGCGGGCGCGGGGCCGAGCCGGGGCCGGGGCGGCGGTGGGGGTGAGGCTGCAGGTCAGTGATGGGCGGGTCACCACGTCCGCGAGCTTTTCCTGGGCGTGTCCTCATCCCTTCATCCGCCCGATAACGACGGATCCGTTCTCCCAGGCAGACCTTAAATTCAAAGGGACTTGAGGGCGCTGCGGTGGCCCCAGTGGCTCGGGCGCGGGACCCTTGATTCCTGCTCAGGTTGAGGAGCCTCGGTAACGTCCCTTTGAGACTAAGGCCTCCATGGAGAGCAGCCTCGGCTGCACCCGCCCCAGGTCCAGGAAGAGCCTCCGATCGCTCAGGCTGAAGCCACCCTCCACCGCCCTCAGACCAGCCAGTCAAAGGGAGGTAAAAACATTCCTGTGGTCTGAGCCAGGGACTGAGGACTATCGATAGTTACTTTGTACAAACTAGCCAATCACTTGCCTGCACCCGGCGTGGGCCCTTTGAGCCCACCTCATAATTGGTCATTTTCTAAGGATTCTCAAAGGTCATGATTGGGTCCCGCAAAAGTAACGGACGCCTCACAGATACTGAATGGTCAAAACTGTTGCCATGGGGGCTGTACAATTATGATTGGTGCCTGTGTGATGATGCTATACGGACAACGTGTGCACTGTAACACCCCTGTCCCTTACTCCATAAAAACCCTGCTCACTATTGTTCGGGGCTTCACCCTGCTGCCACTGTGCTGGTTGACGGGTGAGCCCTTGCTCGAGCTTGTAATAAAGACCCTTATGTACTTGCATCGGTGTCGGCTCCTTGGAGGTCTCAGGGGACTCGCGATTGGGGCATGACAAGGTCATGATCTTAGCCTTGGGATTTTCTCGTCCTCCATCTATACCTTCCCCATTTGTGCGCGTGCTCTCTCAAAATAAATAACCTTTTTAAAATAAGGATTTGAAATTGTATGAACCTTTATTTGGGCCATGAGTCAAATAACTTAAAAAAAAAAAACTGATAACAGGTGGGAGAAAGGGGAAATGGGGATGGGCATTGAGGAGGGCACTTGCTGGGATGAACACTGGGTGTGGTATGTAAGCGATGAACCACGGGAATCTACCCCAAAAACCAAGAGCATACTTTACACACTGTGTGTTAGGCAACTTGACAATAAATTATATTTTTTAAAAATAATAAATTTTTTAAAAAATAAATTTTAAAATGGGTAAGAGAAAAAACTAAAAAAATAGTAATGAAACCTGATAACAGACAGGTGCCTGGGTGGCTCAGTTGGTTAAGTGTCGACTTGGGCTCAGGTCATGATCTCACGGTTCATGGGTTCGAGCCCGGCGTCAGGCTCTGTGCTGACAGCTAGCTTAGAACCTAGAGCCTGTTTCAGATTCCGTATCTCCCTTTCTGTCTGACCCTCCCCTGCTCACACTGTCTCTCTCTGTCTCTCAGAAATAAATTAAAAAAAAAGTTTTTAATTAAAAAAAATAGCATCACCAGATCTGCTTTAAAATGCAGTGGATACAAGAGTGTTCGTAGCTGTTATAGTAACAACAGCAGTGTTTCAGCTTGTCAATAAATCTTACAAATGTTGTGCAAACGATGTTTAAATGTGATGTTCTTTTATTACATTAGTAAACAACAATTGAATTTGATAATATTTTACTTGCATTTTAATCTTCTTTCCTTATTCTATCCGTGATGTTTAAGTGTGGGGTCTCTCCCTACCGGATGGGGGTCCCCAGATGTGGGGCCACCATGTAGCAGAAGCTGGTGGCAGTGGGTGAAAAGAATTCACCTGAAACAGAAAAAGGGAGATGGACTTCTTGAGCACACCTTAAGGGAGCCACGGGCAGGATAGCAGAGAGGCTGTCAGCACAAGGCCGTGGGCGGCGGGGGGGGGGGGGGGGGGGGTGTTTTAAAGGGGGAAGATAAGGCGGTAGGTATGGCACTGTATGGAAGTTTCCCTTTTTTGGTAACTGTGCCTGGTTGTAAGTAGCCCATTAGTCACTTAGGGCCTATGGCTATTTTGAGGTGGGCCGCCTGAAATGTCTCTGCATTCAGCCAGGTGGTCCCTGTGGGCCCTTTCTATGTTCCATCTCTCAAGCCGGTTTGCCTAAAAGTGGCCTCTCCACTATCCTTGTGCTACTGTTTTCTGTACTGTGCCAAAAAGATTTCACAAGTCTCATTAATAATTTGGGGAATATAGATTTTTTTTCTTTCTATTTTGTAAAATAGTTTTTCCACTGTTAAGTTTTGAGCTCAGAATCCTTAGGGGTAGGTATTTGACTTCTGATTCAATTTTTTTTTTTTTAATTTTTAAAGCCTATTTCTTTCCTTTTTGTTCTTTTTTTTTTTTTTTTTTTTTGAGAGAGAAATCATGTATGGAGGAGGGGCAGATAGAGCGAGAGAGAGAGAGAGAGAGAATCCCAATCCCAAGCAGGCTCCATCCTGTCAGCACATAGCCTGACAAGGGGCTCAGTCTCAGGAACCATGAGATCATGACCTGAGCCAAAGTCAAGAGCCCAGCGCTTAACTGACTGAGCCACCCAGGCACCTCCATTTTTTTTATTTTTTAATGGTAGTTGATGTATTTAACTTTTCTAGTTCTTACTGAGTCAATTTGGACACTTAAGGTTTTCTAGAAAATTGTTCATCTCATCTGAATTTTCAAGTTTGTTGGCATAAAACATTTCATACTAATCTTTCATAATGATTTCTTTGGAGATTTTAAAATCCACTGCTTTTTAATGATATTTTAAAATCATTGCTATAATAGTAGCCATTTCTTCCTTTTTGAGCTTAGTATTTTTCTGGGTCATTCTTTTTTTCTGGATGAGTCCTGCATTATATACATCTATGTTAATCTTTTCAAAGAAGTGGATTTTGTGTTTTGGTTTTATGTCTTTGTATTTTGGTTTTCTGTACAGTAACTTGCCCTGTATTTTTAAATTTACTTTGTTGCTGTTTTTCTACTTCTTGACTTGATTGACTAATTCATGTATTTTCTCTGAAATTTATTTGCTTTCTAAGAAATGTATATATACATTTAAAAAAAAAAATCTAGTATGTTAAGGTGCCTGAGTAGCTCAGTCGGTTGAACATCCAACTCTTGATTTCCGGTCAGGTCATGATCCTAGAGTCATGGGATAGAGCCCTGCATAGGGCTCTCTGTTGAGTGTGGAGCCTGCTTAAGATTCTCTCTCTCTCCCCTTTTCCCTGATGGTGCGTGCATGTGCTCTCTCTCTCTCTCTCTCAAAATAAAAAAACAATGAATAAATAAATAAATATCTAATATATCTAATATAAAATATCTATATCTCAATATAAAAGTTAGTTTTATATTAGACTCATAATAAGAACAGGAGGTCCCTGTTTCTTCTCAGTGGCAACAACTTTCAATTTTTTTTTTTAATGTTTATTTTTGAGAGAGAGACAGAGTGCGAGCGAGGGAGGGGCAGAGAGAGAGGGAGAAAAATTCCGAGGCAGCTCCAGGCTCTGAGCTGTCAGCATAGAGCCCGACACCGCGCTAGAACTCATGATCCTTGAGACCATGACCTGAGCCGAAGTCGGCCGCCTAACCGACTGAGCCCCCCAGGCGCCCCGCCACTTGCAAATTTGTAAGCTGATTGCGCTTTACATTGTCTTCAGTATTTTTTAAGTTCATCAGTTTGAGACATTTTTCAGTTTCTTATTGCATTAAATGAGAATCTTGATTACATCTTGCCTTCCTTCTTTCATTCCTAAATCACAATGTAATTATATTGCAAGTGTTCTAATGTGGTTCTCTCACAGAGATGGGTTCTGTCCCCGTGCAGAGCTTTCGCTGTACTGACTACATAAAAAGTCTTGGCAGCTGAGCCATAATAAGTTTCTTTCTTGTGTAAATCCTGCTCTTCCTGTTTTTAGTAATCGCGTTTTTTTACTCATTTTCTTTGTTTTCATTAGGCCTCTGTAAAATGCCTCTTCAATTCTGTTTTCCTCAAGGTCAAACCTGTCCTACAGCCTTAGCATTTTTCTTTTTTCCTGACACGTATCCTGAGGAGCCTTCCATCCTTGCAGTCTGACAGATCAGTTACTCTCTAGGCAAATGTAAGCACAGCGGCATTGTGAGACTTCCCTTGACCCTCATCTATTCCCTCACCTCATCTCCGTTTGGGATTTGTTTCCTGGAAGCTTCTTTTTCGCCTTTTTAGTAGATGATAATCTTACTACCTTCCTGAAAAAGAGTCCATTTGAGCGAACTTGTTTATAACTACAAAACACTTTGTCTCGTCCTCGTATGTTTTTGGTATTTTGGCCTTCTATAGAAGTCCTGGAAAGGAAATTATTTACCCTCAGAATTTTTCTTTTCATTTAAAACAGGGAATACTTTTTTCAAACCCATCAGAGAAATGGACAGCTTGGGTCTCATTGTGTTTTAAAGCATAGGTCAGTAACTGTATATGAAATTAACTGATCAGAGAACAACTTTGCAGTGTCTAGAACAGAATAAGCTTCCCTGCAAAAGCGGCACCTTTGCGGCATTTTTAACTTTGGTATTCTTCCTCTTCACCCTTTCCTTCAACAGAATCCACACCAACCTCTTCATAATCCCTCTCAAGGACAGCCATAT